ATATGCTCTGTCTATGAATTGATTGGTCATCTATACAATTTATTCTCAAGTTTCCTGTTATTGCATCACGCGTAAAAGGATAGAACTTTGTAAATTTTATTTTGTCTTGTTTAAAAAAGATAAAGTTACAAGTTGACTGGTATGTTAGCAAAATCCAAACATTTGAATTCAACGCACAGTTACCACAGAAAGACGTTTTTTATGGCTAGTTAAAATTATAATTCTAATTTCAAAATTAATTTTGTAGTTGTCATCTTTTTTCCCAAATCTCACGTAAACAAAGGCAAAAGAAATCTTGAATTTAATAGCTTCCTTCTTTTAAATTAAAAACTACGGTACTATTATTTCGTAATAAGAAATAAAACAATCATTTAAAATACCATAATATTTTATTATTAAAAGATTATACAAGGACAATAAAACGTTATTTAATAACACATTACATTATTTAATATATGGAACATAATAATTATTTTTTTTTTTAAATATTAGTTAATTTTTATTAATTTACTAATATTTCCTTTAACCATTCCAACTAAGCTCTAGGCTTGTCCTAGGATATGGTTCACGAAAATAGTCGAATGGCGGGATTCAAACCCTCGACCGCAAGATCGGTAGTCCGTACTCCAAACCATTAGGCTACTGGCGCTTCTATTCTATCAATTCATTTCTATAATTTGCCGGATTCGATTAAATCTCTCAGTTTAAACTTTTGGATCTTTCCGGACGCAGTCTTCGGGAAATCGTCTGCTATTTTCAAGACCCTCGGAATCTTGAACCTGGCTATGTGTCCGCTGCAGAATTTCCTGACGTCATCAAGCGTCACAGTAGCGCCATCTCGTGTTCTCAACACAGCGCATAATTCTTCTCCCAACCGCTCATCAGCAATTCCAACAACCTGGAAAGAAATTAAATGAATTCCTATTTAATTTTTTATTTTCGTTTTAGCAATTTAGTTGTGGAAAACCTTTCGTAATACCTTTCAATTCCTGAATATTATGTCATGTTAACTCAAACATCTCAAGAATATCTTTAAAATAACAATTCTTTTATGAAATACTAGCTATTGCGCGCGACTTCGTCCGCGAGATTTCAGGAAATAATAAGAGATGTAGCCTACGATACTCACCGATAATGTAGCTTTTAAATTGTGAAAGAATTCTTGAAATAGTCAGTTGTTTTCGAGTTATTCCAATACATACAAAAATAGAAATCTATCCACTTTACAATATTGAAGTTTAGATAGATTAGAGGTAAGTTGTTTATGATAGCATAAATAATCAGTGCCTACAACGTATTTCAGTTCATTGGAATATTTTGTCTCCTAAAAATATTTGAAACGGTATATAACCTGGCTTTCCACAACATCAGGGTGCGTGTTTAGCAGGTCCTCTATCTCTTTGGGCGCGATGTTCTCTCCACCACGTACTATGATGTCTTTCAGCCGGCCAACCACGCGCCCGTAACCGTCTTCAGATACTGTGAACTTATCCCTGGAAAATATCTTTACTTATTATATTAAATTTTTTGATTCAATATTAGCAGAATAGTTGGAGTTTAGTAATATTTTTTATGATACTAGACAGTATTTGAATCTACGACTCGGATGTACTTTCAAACAGCCAGGCTGTTGGCATTTCATTCTTGATTATACTTTCGACTAGATTATTGTAACGTATATATTGAAAAGGTTAGTAATGCAATAGCTTCACAAATAATACTTCTCTTACCCAGTACTTAGCCAACCATCCTCGGTAAGAGTGTTCTTTGTCTTCTCCGGCTCGTCCCAATAACAGATCATGGTATTGTAGCCTCGCACGAGCAGCTCACCAGCGCCACCAAATGGAACTGTTTCACCATCTTCATCTACTACCTGTGAAATTATTAAATGTTTATTGAATGACTGGTTTGTGCATGCCCTAAACTATAGTTTGCACCTCAAAATAATTAAGTTTACCATAAAATATCTCATTACCTTAACTTCCACGTGATCTTGTATGTAGCCGACGGTATCAGCGACTATGTCGATGTCATCACCGGGTTTGGACTGGAACACGCTGGCTGTGGTCTCCGTCATGCCGTACAGTGCCTGTGAAACGAAAATTCTTAACATTATAAAGGGACTGGCTGATAGAAGCTCAGATAGCTTAACACTGACGTCACTGTCAGATAAAGGAACAAAATCCGATATTTCCATCACATATTTTAAACGTTGGATTGTTATCAGACAATTTACAATTTGAGGAGACAGGCTCTAAGTCTGGCTAATATTATGCGCTAGTTGAATGGATGGATGGATAGATGTTTGTTAGACTTTGTAATCTAAACGGTTGAAATTTGGCATAGATGTAGAGAGTAGTCTAGAAGAACACATAGGTTACTCACTTTTGTTTTTTTAATTCCGCGCGAACGGAGTCGCGGCGCAAGTTACGAAAATAAATTCTGTCTTTTGATATTTACTTTGTTACACTGTTGTTACTCTATAGTCGAAAGTTTGAAAGGACTTTGCCTTCATTGTTTACCAGCACGGAATCCGCTTTTAGATATTTGTTCATGTCTCTGATGAGTTGTGGAGAGCAGGGCGCGCCTGCGGCGAGAGCCATGCGCAGGCGCAGTGGAAGGTCGCCATGCTCGCGGATCTGGGATATCATGTCCACGTACATCGTGGGAGTCCCCGTCACAGCTGTACATCTGTAATGTACAACAGTGGACTCAATAATCTATAGTAATTGCTAGTGTCGTACGAAAGTATGACGTCACTGTATATGATGTTGAGTGATACTTCCTTTTGTCCCGAGTAAACAGGGAATAAATTTATTCGCGGATAACTATGTAAAAGTGTAATAATCATTCATTCGATTTGTTTTATAATGCAGACGTATAGATACATAAATATCGGTTTATTTATATTGAAAGCACTAAAAAAATTACAACTACTTAGATACGAATTGAACTATTGATTTTTTTTATTCATATTTTTGAATACGTAATTAAAATAAGGCTAATGACTTTTAATAAAGTCGAATTGAATAAATAATGTGGTTGTCATAATATTTGTGTTTGAATAAAACATGTTACATCTTTATACAATCTATTCGTTATGAAAAAACCTAAGGTGATGATTAGCAACAACCCTTTTTTCACTAAAACCTTATAATAATTTTAAACATAGATAAAACAAGAATTACTTCTCAGCAAGCAGTGCATTTATGTTTGCAGGTATGTTGTAGATAGGCGAGGCCAGCACCAGCGTGGCGCCGTGTCTCAGAGCAGCCAGCGTTGTCACCACTGATCCCAGGGCGTGGAAGAGCGGCACCTGCATATAATAAGATTAAAACTATCCAATTTTGCTAATAGATCCAGAGCCAGCTACAGCCAGACCTTCGCTATTTTATAAAAGCTGAAAGTTACAATGTATGGGCTTTCCTAATGATTTCTATAGAGTGCCGTCTTCCGTCTTCCTCAATGACTTTTCATTGTGCGAATTAATATGTGTTTTGGAAATCAAATTTTTAAATAAATCTTAATACAAACATTTTCTGTCTCATCTCTCAATCTCTTTGTCCTTATCCTACTTACTAAAGGTCGGCGCAACATTTCCATCCACGTTTCCTCCTTCGTTTGATATTTTCAAATGACGTTGAATTAGTTTTCATACGAACCTGTACACAAATTTTCTGATTATCCTCATCATAACCGTTTCGTCTTCCAATAAAGTAAGTATTATTAACGACCCCTAAATGTGAGTCTAGTGCTGCTTTTGGGTCTCCTGTAATTATTTTAAATTGGATTACTATCGTAGGAAAGCTTTTTTTTATTTTGATGAAAGAAGTTTCCAGTCCTAAGTTCTAATAGTAATCAAATTTAACTCGTCATTAATGATTGATGGTGATGATTTGATTTCTTTTACCTCTAAAACCCACCCGTGGTCCCCGAAGTGAAGTGAATTATGCTGCCATCTTCCGGTTTTATTTCGCTCCCGTATTTTGAGACTTGGTTAGTGTTATTTCCCAGTAGTGTGTTGAATGTAAATACACCGCTGAAATATTATTTAACTAAAGTTTTTTTTTAATATACAACGTACCTTGTTGGAGAAAAAACTTTCAATAAAAAAAATATAATCTAATTTGGAACACCATAGCCAGTATAAATAATGCAAATTGAGGTTGAAATATCAAAAAAATCTTAAATACTTACTTTAATTTGCTCTTTTCCAGACTGATAATAGTGGTCAATTCAGGAAATTGTTCTGAAACCAGTGCTCCAGGCTTGGAGCCATCTAATTCTGGTATAAGATGTTTCAAGCTGTTGTAATAATCCCTGTTTTTGATAGAATTGCCGATAACGAGACCCTTCATGCCAGTTTTCTTCAAGCAGAAACTTAACTCTGATTTCTCGTAAACCGGATTTATGAACACCTGAAAGAATTATTAACGACGCATCGTTATACAGATGTTATCTAAAAAAAACTGTAAATAAAAATTGTTTTCTTTAACACGCATTTTTTATCTTATCTGACAATTATTTAATACATTAAATTATCTTTAGCTTATCGGATAAATGTTATCAAATAAATAAGCGTGAATTAGGATGTAAAATTATCAATTTACGACTTCTTATCTGCTTACTCGGTCTACTTGTTTCCTTCCAGAAATAATACCAAAAAACTATAAGGTAATCTAAGCAGGAAGTGAATAGTTATATTGGAAAATGTTTTGGTGGGATCGTATCAAAATTCATTTAATTATTCAAATTACATTTATCGTTAAATAGACACAAAATATAATTTTTTATGTAAATGTTCTACTATTACTTAAGACACTTTGATAAAGACTTAATTTCCTAATGGTTAAGCAGTTTGATTGAAATAAACAAGTGTTTTATAACTAACCGATATTAATCCAACTCGTGCCGCAGCCAAGACTGACACAATCCAGCCTGCCATGTTGTGAGTCCATATTCCCAATCTGTCCCCTTTGTTGAAACCATTAGCTCTTAGTGTACAACCTAAAGAGTCAGCCTGGGGAAAATAAATAAATATTACAAATGAAATTCGGTCTAAAACACAACAATACATATTTTCAATCGATTTTCTACGTTTCAATATTATTTTAATTAAATTGTATTATCTTAGATTGAATTTATAATCAGTTTGTGATTGCCCTAAAAAGAAGTATCCAATATTTGCAACGGGTTTGTCCAATCAATTATGCGTACCTGAGTTAAAAGTTCCTCGTATGTTAGAGTTAAATCTTCATGTATGGACCGAATGGCAATTCTATTCGGATATTTGTTAGCGCTCTCTGCTAGTACGTCACCAAGCGTTGCGATAGTTAAAGGTTCACATCCTGGATTGTGGAGATAGCTCACATTCGGATCTGATTGCAGGAGACGACTTTGGCTATAAAAAAAATAGTTATGTAGTACAGGACGTATATTCTCTACTTGATGTAATGCAAATGGATGGGAAACTTGTCACAGCATACAAGAGAGAAAAAGTATAATAGCTTATTGTATGATGTTCAACCTTATTACTCGATGTGTAGCGCCGGTGGCCTAATGACGTCAAATTTCAATGATCAGTACGTTTGTAAAAAAAGGTTACAGAAACAGTTGTTACAATAAATTTACTATTGTCTAAAATTTTAACACAATTAAAAATAATCTCTGAAGATGATTATCAGTTTCTTCAAGTAAAAAGACGACGATGGGAAAATAAATTGAATCATTAATTCAATAATAAAGTTAATAAATAAATAGTTATGACTAATGAATATTTATGAATTATTATTGCTTTATTTTTTAATCGACATTAATTATCACTTGTAAAAACATTGTCATCCCTCTCATTCTATTAGAAAGACACAGAGACAACAATAGGTTTTGGAAACTATCAGTGGAAGTTTCAATAATTCTTGAGTCTATTTGCATTCTTCTAACAAATATTTGCGTTGTAAATTAACCTTTATTTACGGTCATTAAAGATTACAATGTGCTTATCTAATATTTGCTTAGAGGATAGTATTATCACGTTTAATTTACGGACAGTTAGTTATTAATAGTTAGAGCTAGAAGATAGTCTGGAAGAATATATAGGCTACTTTAAATCTTGGAAATAGCAACGCTTCCCGTGGGATCCATATCCATGTCTAGTCTGGAGTATGGTACATATGTATCCAGTACACGTGGGATATGTTGATTCATCCCCGAAAAATGTCACATACCCGAGTAATACGTAGTTTTCGGTTTGTCTTATGATTTCTTAATACTGCGGGCACGAAGTCACGGGCGACAGATAGTATAAGGTATTTTTAATGACTGTCCGTTATTTTATGCTATCATTGTTTTTGATTAGTGCCGAAACATGGTCATGAATTAATTTTAATTTTAAATTCCAGCTATCAAATGTGATAAAAGTTTTACGTAACGATTACTAAACATCCGGCAATGATTTTGATATTCCAATTAAATAATCGATTAAAGGTGTATTTACTAGCTGTAGCTCGCGACTTCGCCCGCGCGAATTTAAAAATTGTATAAACAAGCCCACAATTTTTGAAATCGGTCAAGTAGTTTTTGAGTTATTTCAAAACAAAATACAAATGTTTCCTCTTTATTATATTAGTATAGATTATTTACAGATTACATTTATAATTTACTTAAAATTGTGCAAAAATTAGATGCATACAGAGTAAATTATGAATTTAAAATGTTAATCAATTTGGGAGCATTGAACTTTGAAGGGTCACTTGTGTATTTCGGGTAAGAAACATCAGAAACCGGTCCTTGGTCACTTTGTTTTGGATAACACATTTTACATCGTTCAATGCATGGACATTAGCTACAATATAGTTATCGTACCATTAGGTACTGTTTATTTTTTTACAGATTTATATAACTCGAAAGAAATCGGTATTCGTAAAGAATTATAATAAAGCTAACTGTCACCCACGACTCCGTCCGCGTAGAATTAAAAAAATAAGTAGCCTATGTGTTCTTATAGACTATCCTCCACATCTATGCCAAATACCATCGAGATACAGAGAACACGAGAACAGAGAAAGAATTTTTCAAATCTGTTCGGTACTTTCGTAACTTACTAGCAAATGATCAAATTCTGCTTTATAACGTTAGTATAGATTCAACTAAAGTTTAAAATAACACATTTCTTTATAAAACCCTCAATCAATTTTATTCGCATATCAAATATACTAATAATAGATATTTGTTACTTGTCACTTTCGTGGGTCAGATCGATAGAGCACGTTTCATTCATACGTATAAAATCGACTTGTTTGATTGCTTAACTAGTTAGTAACTGCAGTTTATCTATGTAATTAACAATCTGTTATTAATTTGAATTGACATCAAACTTTTTTTAAAGGAAAGAATTGCGATATAAATTGTTAGTACCTTTATTGTAGTTGTGTTAATGGAAAATCATCTTTTAAATTTATTAAGATTGTACATTTATTACTATTTTTTTTAAGTAAATTAAATGGCGCGCAAATTGATAAAACAACAACGAACGGACATCGCGTTCCAAATTCAAATGATAATGTTATCTTTTTTTTTCATTGAAATATTATGGCCAGTACGTCGGAGGTTAGTAACTCACCTATATGTATGGCTCAGGGTAATCCTCCTAGCGAGTACTGCAGCGCGTTTTGTAAACATGTTTCCACAGACAAGCGCACAACCGAACAAACAGAGCGACACAGACGGACTGGTGTGTTTGTAAGTAAAACGTGTTAGAATTGATAATGAACGAATAATGTGGAGGTTAATCACACTTTTGACGTTGTAAAGATTAAGTATATGAATTGCATTTACTTATCTCAACATATAAAAATTGGCTTATGACTGCCCAATAATCTTGTATTAAGGTATAAATGATATAAGATTGATTATATTATAAAAAAGTACATAAATTATTACAAAACCAGTTAATCGCAGTGACCACAAACGGTCCGCGATTTTTCCTGAGGGTCAAGCGGTCTTTAATGGTATCTGATGTTGGTGGAATCGAGGCCGTGCCCCCATCTACCTATCCCCACTCCACCCAATCCCCCTCCGGAAGTGGCGCGTGGCACGCGACGGCCCCCTATTCTTTCTTGTGACGAAACATGCAAATTTCTTCGACCTCCTGGAACAGCGATATGTATCGCGCCGGGTGAAATGCGTGTACAAATGTCTTCCTCTATAATGCTTGCTTATTATCTAAATAGAACACTTGCTGCTAATCGCAACTCCAATCATGTGCAGGATGAGAAAAAAAAAACAATTTCCATGTATTTCTGTTGACGGAAAGACTTTTCTCTGTGGAAACATTCGTCTTATGATTAAAGGTGGATGGGTTGAATTTAAGATAATGCTTCTAAAGTGTTCATCTACGACAATCAAACAGAAATATCTTTGCAAAATTACAAATTTCTAGTACCAGTAGGATTTGTGCTGAGAGATTGCTGGATGGATGGATGGAAAATCTAGATTATCTGGAAATTAAATTTCGTCTCTCGGATTTTTTTAAACAGTACTCTATTCAAACTGCATTTAAATCATTTTTGCCATGTACATAAATAAAACTGTTTTAAAAACTCACTTAAATTATTTACGAACAAAACTCGAATAACAACTTTAGCTGTCTATAAAAAGTTACAAAGCTTCAAATAAATTTGATTCATTATTACTAAGGCTTCCCATATCCCGGTCGTAACATAAATAGGTCAATGCATAAGACATTCCTAGACGTTGCCTTTGTAAGTTTTGTTTGTAAATCCAAGTTACGTCGCCGTCGACTTTATTCACTCGAATCATGCAAGAAGTCGACTCAGCTACGCAACTGCCGCAGTCATGCTCCGCCCGTCCTCCGGTCAACACATCCCTATACAATAACCACCATGACCGATCGCGAACTTCAGTGCAGTGCTCCTAAATAGTGTTGGCTTTATGGTAATGAAGTGACAATGTCGCAAGCGCCAGGCGGCAAAAAAGGTGGGAAAGGACCACCTAAGAAGAACATAGATGATGATAAAACACCAGCAGTTAAGAATACAGAAGAAAAAGAAGAGACATCATCCAACAATGGCGATAAAAAGGAGATTAAGGAGACAAACGGAGATGTACCGAAGCCGCCTAGCGCTGGTGTTAACATGCGGGATGCGGCGACTAAGATATTGGGGCTGGCGCAGAAAGGGGAATGGTCAGCAGTGGAACAGACCCTTAAGGTGTTGGAGAAGTTGGTGGCTGCAGGCGGCGAGGATACTATAACTGTGCCTATGGCTGGAATACTTGATCCGGTAATTTTAATAAACTAAGAGTAATTTTAAGTTCGTTCCATTTTATAATTAAACTGACTCTGCAAAAAACAAGTAAAAACACAAACAAAGACAGACAATGAAGAATAGCATAATGTCCGAAACGTTTTGACCATTCCGTTTTCATTTTTCCTATATCGAAACAATTCTACTCATCAAATGATAATAATGAACGAATTTGTAAAAATGTCCTTTAACGATTGTACATTCCTAAGAATTCCATATAAAACTATTTAACCTTAGCAGCTATTAAAGTTAACATTTACATAAATCCCGATAAGTTAGTTACTGTACGTTACGTGCTGTTATAATTTGATTTTTTATGGCCGTGAATTAAGAAAAGCGTTTTCATTTATTTTGTTTTTACGATTGCGAGAAGGCCACAACATGAAATAGCCACGAGGTTTCAGATTTACATGAAACCGATAATCTTTGTTTTAAACTTTTTGTTTATTTATTGCTATTGCTAATTTAATATTAAAAATTAACAGTTTTCCCATTATTTAATCTTCTTTTAGCCTCAATTGTTCTGGTACGGTAATTCTTCTAGTATTTTCTATATATCTTTCTATTCAGCATTCCAAAATATGCTACTAACATCATAATATATTTTCCTAATCCTGTTGCTCTGGCTAATTTAGTATCCTGAGGATCGGTTTTTGTCCAATCAGTTTCAGTTTTTAAAGTAGCCACTTCATTTTTCTTTTTATTTCTCTAAAAGTAGAAAATGTCAGTTCAAATTTATAAAAATAACCGTTACGTGTAAAAAAAATGGATGCAGTTTGTGTAATAGTACAGGGATGTCTATCATGTAGATAAAAACAAAAGCTCTTATCTAAGCTTTTGTTAAGCTTAAATGGAAATTTTTGTGATGAGATTAAACTAAATCACATCCTGTACTGTCGTTTCGTCCGAAGTCTGTCTATCCGAGTGTCCTCTTAGTGATAACAGACATGGATTCAGTACATTATCTGGAACCTAGAAGGGATTATTTCATGAATTACTAAGATCTGGTAACAAACAGTATCTTCGTGGATAGAGAAACAAACAAGCTTTCATACACTTAAAAAGATACGTTTAATGATAATGAATAAACTAAAATTGTTATAAACAACCATCTTTATTACTCATTATTAATACATTTCTGGTCTAAACCTTCCATAGTATGTGGTACTATTTTCTGTTAAAACAATCTTGATTGTGAGTTGGAAAAACCCGCATAGAGTGGTCGTATGGTTCAGTAGCGTCTCCCCATAGCCGCTGTTATTCGATATCTTGGCAACGGATCGCGTGCAGCCCGCCACGAGACATCTCGCCTTTTTACTGCTCTTAATGCGGCCCCAACAGATCGATGGAAACGTTTGTCATATATGATTTGTTTTGTTGTATCGACATGATACAAGACGAGGTCTGCATTTACTATTATTACTTCGATGACGAATAATCATAACATGCGATACATTTAGAAGGATTTGAGTTAAAGAAATTTTGTCTAAATTACAATGATAAGTATCTATAAATGTTATTGATGTGTTAAATAATTTATGAATTCCTAAATGATCAAACTCTTCACCATCATCATCATCATCATCAAGCTCTTGTCTCTACGAAGGATCGACACAGTATGTGCTGCTCTTCCATACATTTATATCAGCCATGATATCTGACTCCACACCCTTCTTAAGCATATCCACTTTCACACAAACCATCCATAATTTTTCGGTCTTCCTCTTAATTTCTACCCATTAATATTCAATCTTAACACTTTCTGGTTTATGTCCCTATCCTCTGGATGCATAACACACCACGCTACATCTTCTTGATGATAAAACTGTTTTTATAATTAAAACTAGTTATAAAAAGAAAAAAGACTTAGAAGTTATACGTCAGATTAAATAGAGGTCAATTTTAGTAAACACTTATTTTTCTAAGGCTAACCTTGGGAGTGTTATTGCGTATTTACACGAGCGGAATTTAGAACAGTATTATATTAAGTGTCAAGGATTATGAATGAAATAGGTTTTTAGTGATAAAAAGTGATTACGCGGGGACATTGAAATTAGAAATCAACTTGGTACAGATGATGAACAGGAATTATAAAAAATCTTTAAATTTCTCTTCGTCAGTTTTATTTTGTTTTATGTCAATAATACATGACTGAATTCAAAATAATTTGTCGGAGTGACGAGCGGTTTGTAGAATTCAATTCCGAAGGTAGATTATGTACACGGTAACGATCTTCCATTGTGGGCGTGCGTACGTCGGAGATAATGAAGTAACAATAGCGTAACATTAGAAACACTATTCTTAGTTGAGGACCATCTTAATGGATAACTTCACAACACACTCTAATTGAATTGTAAACATTCACCGAGATTAACCAATTGATTTTATAATCACAAAACGTATCAATCGACCATTCAAAGACAACTGTCATCTGTTATTGGATCGCCGCTTGACAACTATCATGCACGATGCACATTTAGCCAGTACTCAAAGTTATTAGTTGCCAGTAACTTTAATCGTTCAAAAATTAACAAACATTTCGCCCCGTTAAATTTATTTATCAATAATTCAACACAAATGCAAAATCTAGTATAACTTTTATGAAAAAATCATATTGAAATGATTAGAGGGTTTCTTTCCTTTTTGATATTCGATAAAAATAAAATCAGTAAACGTGAACGAAAAATTAAAAAAAATGTCATTCAACCTACTTGCACGACCCGTTTCCCCTATTCCAAATTAATTATGATAATTCCATGTTTCTGAAACGATATCGCAAATCGCCGGTGCTAGGCTAAAAAACTTTCTTGAAGTATTTCATTTCATACCGACTTGAATAAATTTCACATTCAAAGAGGGCTAAGTTACATCAGTTGCGCACAAATTTCATTAATTTGGGGTTGTGGGAAATGTAGATACATAAATTAATGTCAGTTTTCATTGTTGATACAAGTACAAAGTCGTTTTGTTTAATCTATATTTTTTAATTCATGTTTTTGTAGATTTTCGGCATTAAAAACCTACCGTGGGTTATGGCACCAGTATTTTCCATAACATATTTGACAAGGTTTATAGTTCGTAATTTAAATTATTATCTAGTAAAAGGAAATAAGTGTGGTACTAGGTTTCTACTTAGTTTTTTCAATATATTTACTAAAAAAAACTTAAAAATTTACAAAACTATGGGCAAAGTAAGTTTTTGTCTACATATTTCTTGTCTATATATTTTTAATTCCAAAAGTAACCTTATCCTCATATTTTTACTAAGAATAGATACAAAAACAGCACCCGTAGTTATCCAACGAGTTTGAACTATAGTCTCTTAAGTGGCGTTCCTCAAGACGAGGATGGCGTGAGGTAAATGTGCCAGACGTCATTGCACTAAACACCGACAATATACTTCAACTTACCAGTTCAACTTAAAA